CACATGTGGTTATTTAAATTTAAAGTAACTTAAAGTAAATAATATTGAAATTTCAATTTTCTCAGTTACCATAGCCACATTCCAGGTGCTTGATAATTATATGTGGCTAAGACTGCTGTCTTGGGGAGCTCAGAAATACAAATTTTCCATCATTAAAAAAGTCTCTATTAAGTGTCACTCTTCTACAGGCCGAAGAGTAAAAAAAAAAGTAATAAACAAATACCTCGACAAATATGTTATGAGTCTGTTATGGTTGGATATGAGGTATCCCCTGAAAGTTCGTGTATGTGATAATGCAGTCCTGCTTAGAGGTGAAATAATTAGTCTATGAGAGTTACAATCTAATCAATGGATTGATTCATTTGATGGGTTTATAATTTGAATGGACTAATGGGTGGTAACTGTGGGCAGATTAGGCATGACTAGAGGAAGTAGGTCACTGAGGGTGTGCCCTTGGGGATTATATTATCCCTAGCTCCTTGCACTCAAATGATTTCTGCTCCTTGGTTGCTATGAGCTGAGCACTTGTTCTCCCCCATGATGTTCTGTGTCACCATGGGCTCAGTCCATGGAGTTGGCTGACCATGGACTGAAGCTCTGAAACCATGAACCAGAATAAAGTTTTCTTCCTCTTTGTTGTTCTTGTCAGGTAATTTGGTCACAGCAATGAAAAAACAGACAAACACAAAGTCAGATGATAATAAAAGTGATTGAGAAAAATATTAAGTAAAACAAGAAACACAGAGAATAAACCATAAGGGAGATGGAGGATAGAGTGGTGGGAGATCAAAACTGCTGACCATACTTGTTAAAATATTAAATTATTTCCTTACTAATTCTTAAATAAGCATGTCTTGAAGCCCCTCCACTGTTGCCCTCTCCACCAAATTGGCTGTCCAGGCCCCTCTCTTATAATACTCCACCCAATTCAGTTATTAGAAGATGAATTCCTGGCTCAGTAGGGGACAACCCAGACCCTGATCCTGCTCTGGACCCTTGATTATCATGACTGGACAGTCCTCACATGGTAATGTTTAAAAGGTTCTTTGCATATTATTCCTGCTGAGGAATCATTTTAGCATGTCCCAATGAGGGGAGTGGCTCTGGGGTTATCGGGAGAAAATTATTCCAGGCATAGTAAATAGCAAATGCAAAGACCCTTTAAATTTAAAGTAACTAAAAGTAAATAATATTGAAAGTTCAATTTTCTCAGTTGAGAGTAGTTCATACTAGATCAAGTGTGAGATCATACTTGGTTTAGTTCAGTAAAAGCAACAAGGCCACTAGCTGGAATACAGTGGCCGAGTCTTCAAGAAGTGGTAGAAAATTATGTCAGAGATGTAAAGGAAGTTGTGGATCACATAGGACCTATTAGGCTATTTATACTAGTTATGTTGCTTAAAACAAACAAACAAACAAACATAAAACTCAAATCCCAGCATCAAAAATTTATGGTTCCTCTTGGCTCTGATGGTCTTGACTGGTTTTGGCATTTACAGAGAGACATATTCAATCAGGGTCAGGTGTTGGCTTGGCTAAAGGCTAGCCAGCCTGGGATGGCCTCATTCTTATGTCTGACTGTGGACTGGCTGCCTGCTGGAGTACAGAGGCGACAACCACATGTCTCTCTTCACCCTGCAGGCTAGCCCAGGCTTGTTCATATGGATAGAGCAATTTTCCAAGAGAGGCCAAGCTCAAAAATGGTACACTGTCGTTCATGTTGCATTCTGCAGGCCAGAGCAAATCACAGGGCCATCCCAGATTCAAAGGGTTGGGAAACATTCACTTCTTGTTGGGAGGAGCTGAGAGACCAGTTAAGAAATGTCACAACAAATTAAGAAATAATGCTTCTGTGGGAAATGATACTAGTTCAGAATATAACATAAATGACGGTTGGCCACTTCTGGGCCTGGACCTTGGTAAGGAGTGGCAGATAATGGATTAGACTGAAGTTCAGACAACCATTAGATGTGAATTAGAGAGGTGTCAAGGATGGCTCTAGGTTGTTCATCTGAGCAGCTGGAAAAGTGAAGTTATCAAAAACTGAAATGGAGAAAACCAGAGTCAAGCAGGTTTCTGAAGAAATAGTAAGAGTTTCTGTTGAACATATTAAGCTTGATATATCTATTAAACATCAAAGTAGCTATGCTGATTACACAATTAGACACACTACCCTGGGTTTAGGATGGAGAAATAAATGTAGGATTATTGGCATATAGGTGGTATTTAAGGGCATGAGAGTAAATGAAATCACCAAGGAAGAAAGGATGATTAGGAAAGAAAGGAAAACAAAGAACTGAGCCTAGGAACCCTCTAATATAAAGAGAAGGAAGCTTCAAGGAAGCTGAGAAGGAACAACCAATAAGGTTGAGGAAAACCCGGGAGGCAGGCATTCTAGAAGCCATGCATGGAAAGCTTATAATAGAGGAGGAAATGGATTATGTGGGTTGCCACCACAATTACCTTTCATCTGAGAAATTCTTAGAAGATGAAGGGCTTTGGAGCATTTTTCTGGAATGAAGATATCTTCTCTTAATCTTATGTATATTAGCAAAAAAACTCTGTGGCCTTAGTCTTTGTCTGAGGGCATCAGTAAACAGGTTGACCTGTTGCAGAAACCCTTGAACATCCTGTTGCTAGAATTCTCCAAGAGGCTATCTCTTGCTCCTAGGTTAGAAACAACAGTCCCAAAGGTATGAAGGGTCTCTGCTCTTCCACAAAGAGCCAAAGAAAGAGAAGCACCATTGCTTGGAATATTGTACACACACAAAAAAAAAAAAAAAAAAAAAATTTGGACAAAAAAGTGAGAAAATGAATGAGTTAAGAAAGAGTAGCTCTGGCCAGAAGGTAAGAGAAAATGAAAGTAAACATGCAAATACTGAAGCCTGAGAAAGAAAAAAAAAATGTGGGTAACTTAAACCAAGACATTTCCTGTAAGATCTGCATTGTTCACAGCCCTGACTCTTACCTCCTCAGGTCCTCTTACATTGTCCCCCACCCTCAGAGACCCAGAGCCCTATTCCCCCTTATTCAAAAGTTCCTGGATTTTCTTGAGAGGTACACAGACTCTGGACATGGAGTCAAACAACCTAAATTCAAGGTCTAGTGCTACTGGGTATTAACATAATCAAATCTGAGTTTTATAGGATTGTTCATGAAAATTTTTCTATAATGAAATTTATGAAAACATCTTGTAAACTATAAAGTATTATGCAAATGTAAGAATGTGTATTTTTCAAAGATGAACTTGGGACATACTCACTGTCAATAGTATCAAAGGGGAAAAGTAAGTTAAAAATAGCTTCACACTGAAGGAAGCGTGGGAAGTGGAAGCACACTTTATGTAGGAAAGGTATCAAAGGAAAACTAGTTTCAAGATAGCAGCCAGAACTTGTGTTGGGATCCTCTCCCCCAACTCTTAAGTGACCTTGCTGCATCTGTGAGATTCTTGACATAAGTGGATTTTATGTCCCCTCAAGGAAATCACTAACTTTGAAATGGATGATGTGGAATAGAGGAGGCCACACAGTCTCAGGAGTGGAAACACTGAGTATTCTAAGGAATTCATTATGTTGGAAGATGCTAACAATATGGCTAATGGTTTGGATGCATGGAATTCAGGCGAAAGATTAATTAGCTTTCCAAGGGGATGGCAAGCTAGGGTAGTATTAAAGACACATCCATATGCAATGTGAGGTGGATTATTTGGTACAATAAATGTTTCAAGACCTCAAATGATAAAGCTGAAGTAATCTTGAAGAGATTTATTTAGAAAACACTTGCTCCCATTTTTTTACTTTCTCTCCTACCTTCTTAAATCTATTGCTATCTTTTAAAATTGAAATTAAACTTATTTTTATTCAAAACATGTTCTTTAGTACATATTAATTATAAAGACTGGGCATATTTGTACAAGTGTACATAAATAATTCTTTGATAAATCAAAACCCCATTGACTTCCCTTATCCTCCCTTCCCCCTCCTCTTGACCCTCTTTCTCTTCTCAAATAGTCTCCCTCCTACTTTCATGTTATTGTTTTGCCCCAGATTTCACATATGAGAGAAAACCTGTGATTCTTATCTTTCTGAATCTGGCTTATTTCGCTTAACATGATGATCTCCAGTGCAATCATTCTCCTGCAAATGACATGATTTCATCCTTCTTGATGACTGAACAATACTCCATTGTGAATATATGCCACATTTTATTTATCCATTCATCCACTGATGGGCACCTGGGTTGATTTCATAACTTGTCTATTGTGAATTGTGCTGTGGTAAACTTGGCTGTGCAGGTATTTCCACAGTATAATTTAATTCCTTTGGGTAAATACTGGGGAGTGGGATAGCTGAATCATACAGAAGTTCTAGTTTCTGTTTTTTGAGGAACCTCCATACTGATTTACATAGTGGCTACACTAATTTACGTACCCACCAACAGTGTATGAAGATTCCTTTTACCCTGCATCCTCACCAGCATTTATTTATTTGTTGTTTTTGTATTCTTGATGATAGCCATTCTGACTGGGGTGAGATTGAATTTCATTGTAGTTTTGATTTGCATTTCCCTGATGGTAAAGAATGTCAATTTTTTTTTTCATATAATTAATGGCCATTTGTACTTGTTTTGAGAAATATCTTTTCAGTTTATTTGCCCATTCACCAATTGGGTCATTTTATTTTTGCTTTCTGTTTGTTTATTTACAACCAGCAGCATCTATTTTGGGCAATTCCAGGTTCTTTCCTAGTAAGATACAGCTTGTTGCTTTATTCAGATATTTGTATAATCCAGCAACTGGGGTAGAAGAGGGCAAGGCAGACCAACAACAGGCACATGCTGGGGCAGCGGGTGGTAACTGTCTTTTTCTCTTGGAAAAGAGAAGTGGTGCTGAGAATGGTCTTTAATCTGGAGTTTCTGTGTACCTTTTCATCCCATAGGCACAGTCTATATACCACTCACCCAGAACCCCTCGGAGTACAGTCGTGTTGGGAGGAGGAGCATTAAGGAGGCTCAGCTGAGTAGAAGCAGATGGTGTGCAGGAAGGCCCAGCAGCTCTTTCCCTGGAACTCCTGCAGTAGCTTGTCCATCTCATTCTCCATGTCCTTTGTGTGCTGGATACACTGACAGAGCTCACAGACGAGGAAGGCTCCCAGGATGGCCTCTTTCTGGGTGTCCTGGATGTCCACATTACCACTGTGCACTGTCCAGCAGGTCTCCTGCTTCCTGGAGTTCAGATCTTCCACCACCTGGTCATAGACTCTCTCTTCACAAGCGAGGATTAGGTCAAACAGGTACTTGCGATTCTGGAACCTTCCTGGCTGAGCCTTGATTCTCTTATTTCTGTCCAACATATGCAAAATGCTATTCTGCATATAGAGTTCTTTGTCTTTCCTGAGAAGATCATTGTACATCTGGTCATATGTGGTTCTGAAATCACGGATATTGGACTTGTCAAGTGCTGGTCCTGGGAGCTTCACATGGGTTTCTGTTCAGAAATGCTGAATCCCTGCTTGCTGAGGACGTCATGCTCCTCCTTTCTCCGGTTCTGGTTACTGGAGCTATAAGAACCTCACGGAGGAGGCTCGCTCTGTCTGCCGCACTCCCTCCAGGGCTCCTACCCAGCCAGTGGCTTCCTCACGAGCAAGATGGCCTCTGTTTATGTTTTTGATGTTAAGCTTTTTGAGTACTTTACATATTCTGGATATTAATCCCCTGTCAAAAGAGGAGCTGGCAAAGATATTCTCCTAGAATATGCTGTTTCTTCATTCTGTTGTTTCCTTTGCTATGCAGAAGCTTTTATATTTGATGCAATCCCATTTATAAATTTTTAAAATATTTTTACTTGTGGGTGGACAATATTTATGTATGTATATATGTATGTATGCATGTATATGGTGCTGAGGGTCAAACCGAGTGCCTCACACGAGCCGGGCAAGTGCTGTACTATTGAGCCACAACCCCATCCCCACCCCTGGGCCATTTGTCAATTCTTGCTAATATTTCCTGAGCTTTTAGAGTTCTATTCAAGAAGCTGTTGCCTGTGCTTATATCTTGAAGTGTTTCCCCTGTTTTCTACTAGTAATTTTAAAGATCCAGGTATTTCATTGAGATCTTTGATTCATTTTGAGTGCATTTTTGTCCAGGGTGAGAGATAAGGATCTAGTTTCAATATTCTACATGTGGATCCCTAGTTTTTTCAGCACCATTTGTTAAAGAGACTGTCTTTTCTCCTTGTCAAGAATCACATGGCTATAGGTTTTTCTCCGTGTCCTCTATTTTATTCTGTTGGCCTACATGGATGCTTTTGTGCCAGTACTATGCTGGTTTTGTTACAGGGCTCTGTAGTATATTTGGAAATTGGATATTGTGATATATCCAACATTGCTCTTTTTATTCCAAATTGCTTTGGCTATTCTGGGTCTTTTGTGTTTCTATTTGAATCGTTAGGATTTTTTTCTAGTTCTGTAAAAAATGTCATTGGTATTTTGATGGGGAGTACATAGAATCTGTGGTTTGCTTTCGGTAATGTGCCCATTTTAACTATATTAATCCTCCCTGTTCATGAACATGAGAAGTGTTTTTATCTTTTAGTATCTTCTTCAATTTCTTTCTAAAGTATTCTGTAATTTTCATTGTAGAGGTCTTTCACCACCTTGGTTAGGTTTCTTCCCAGGTATTTTAAAGCTATTGTGAATTGAATTATTTACTTGATTTCCTTCTCAGTGGTTTTATTTTTGGCATAGAGAAAAGTCATCAATTTTAGTATGCCAGTTTTGTTTCTATAAGCTTCTTTTTTAACTGACACAAAAACATAAAAAATTGCACATATTAATGGAGTAACAACCTGATGTTTTGATACATATATGCATTGTATGATGCTAACAGAACTAAATAAGATACAATTACCACAACTGGGTAAAATTTAAAGAAAATTAAAACATTATGTCAAAAAGAGCTGGGCTTGGTGGCTCACACCTGTAATCCCAACAGCTAGGAGGCAGGAGGATCACAAATGAGGATCATGAGTTCAAAGCCAGCCTCAGCAACTTAGCAAGGCCCTAAGCAAATTAGTGAGACCCTCTCTCTAAACAATATTTTAAAAGCCTGGGGATATGGCTCAGTGGTTATGCACCCCAGTACCTCCCCCCAAAAAAGACATTTACCCTCCCATGTTTACTGCAGCATCACTCACAATATCCAATAAATGCAACAACTTAAGTGCCCATCAAAAGATGGATAAAGAAATTACAGTATATACATGCAATGGAATATTATTTAGCTATCAAAAAGAATGAAATCATGTCATTGAGACAACATAAAGGAAATTGGAGACTGTTATGTAAATGAAAAAGCCAGGCACAAAAAGACAATTGCCATATGATGTTACTCATCTGTGGAATCTAAAAATGTTGATGTCATAGAAGCTAAGAGTAGCATGGTGCTTACCAGAGGCTAGAGAGATTAGGAGGGGAAGGGGCATAAGGAAAGGTTGCTAGAAATGTTTATCCTGATTTAAATAATCATGTTCTTTTATTTTTCTTTCTTTCCCTCTCCCCAGCCCTCCCCTGCCCATCCCTGAAGATGGTCTAACAGTTTTGATAATTGAATCTAAACAATTGTCTCACCAATACCCTCACTGGCTCCCTCCCTCATCTGCCCCAATAGCAGTGATGTTGCTGGGAAAGGGCCTCCACTTATAAGGCAGACTGCCCTGACTCGTGCATGACCCTTTCCCCACCCCATTTCCTGCCACGCCATTCACCCTGTCAGACAAAAAGGAAAAATGCTGGCACCGAGAGGATGACCCAGAACAATGTACACAGTTTCCAACACAAACTCTGCAGCTCAGGGCTCCCACCCTGCAGAGCATCCAACAACTTCGGCTGAGCCATCCAAGCCCAAGGAAAAATAACCGACTGTGAAAGAACAAAGGTGGCCCTAGCCCAGGCCTGTAGCCGCCAGTCAGGAGAGGCAGGCGACAGCACCTCGGGGCAGGCATGGTCCTTGGAGGGCTGCCAAGCCGGCTGTCCTGAGCCTGACAAGGCAAGGGAGGGGCCCAACAGGCCTCAGTCAATGAGAAACAGATCTTCCCTAAAAATAATGATGAATGAAAAGGCACAGTGACAAAGCCTTGCCTCGGAGCTGGTTTGGCGCATAATCAGACCTAATGATATGTTCAGAAGGAAAAATTCATGGTCTGGATCTAGAGTCCTTTGAGCCAACAAGTCATCTGCAAACAAGTCCAAGGAACTTCTGTTGGTTTTACCAGCAGGCATTCTAAGACAGAGCTCTGGAACCTGACAGCTGTCATCCTTCAACAGGCTTGGTTCTTGTCAGTACAGCAATGACCATGAGGTAGGCTGCTTGGGAGCAGAGGGATGCATTAGATGAACCCACAAAGTCATATGGTTCCAGGTCAAACAGGCAATTAATGGAACCTGTGATCCAGAAAGAAACTATTGGTAAGAGAATGGAAGCAAAGATCATAAGAAGCAGGTCAGAGGAGGAGGGTCTTTCTCAGTTCTCAGGTATCCATCGAACTCTCCTTGAAAGACAAGCATAGTGGGGTAAGGTACATAAATAACAGGAACCATCTTACCCTCAGGGTGCTTTTTTTTTTTATATACATTTGAAAGTGGCTTTAGAAGCAGGCATGGTGGCATATGCCTGTAATCCCAGCAACTGGTGAGACTGAGGCAGGAGGGTCCCAAAGTTTGTAGCCAGCCTCAGCAACTTAGTGAGGCCCTAAACAACTAAGTGAAACCCTGTCTCAATATAAAATATAAAAAAGTCTGGGGATGTGGCTTAGTGGCCAAGCACCTCTGGGTTCAATCCCCAGCACCAAAACTAATAATAATAATAATAATAATAATAATAATAATAATAATAAAATAGGCTTTAAAAATTAATTTCTGAGATTACAGGCACATGCCTATAATCCCAGTGACTCAGGAGGCTGAGGCAGGAGGATCACAAGTTCAAAGCTAACCTTAGCAACTTAGTGAGACCCTAAACAACTTAATGAGACCTTGTCTCAAACTAAAAATAAAATAAAAATTTAGAAAAGAGGCTGAGGATGTAGCTCTGTGTTAGAGAGCCCAGGGTTCAATCTCCAGGACTACAGAACAAAGTAAATAATAAGTGTAAAAGGGTAAGAGATTATTACGTTTTTATCAAAAATGCCTGGAGATCCTCAAATTATTGTACCAACTCTGATCAATTGGTAGAGCTGCCTAAAAGTCTGTATTGAGAAAATTCACGAAGGTTTGCTGGCTTTACATGCAGCAAAAATGAGGACCTCACTCTGTGGACGTTGCTTGTCATGATGGAAAGGAATGCTGTGTATTCAAAGACCTGAGTGGTTTTCTAACTTGTCCTATTTTACACATAAGAAAGCAGAGTGCCAAGATGGAGAGGTAGTAAAGTTGAACAGAACTAGCAATTTATTGTCACAAGTGAGCTTTTGCTTATCATTCCCTGGGAAAGCAGAACAGACATAAGAGCAAGCTCCAGAAGGAGACCCGCACACAATCATAGGGACTAAGAGACAAGGAAGGGAGGGGCTGGGAAGCCTTCCTGAGGGCAAGAAACTGCAACCTAGAAACACGTATTGGATTTTCAGGAAGCAAAACCCCTCTAAACCCTCCTTCTTTTCCGTTGACCAAGGTGAGGTTGCTAGAAACAAGGCAAAACTTTCCCAGAGATCTCCCCTAGGTTAAACTCTGAAGGAGTTTTATTGGTTTCTTGAGAAGGGAGGTGTCACAGGCCACAACCTATGATGATTAGGTGAGAGAGCACACTCTGAAAAACAACACACTGTAGTTAGTTGTAGGTCGGCCTCTCTCTGGGAGATTTAAGATTCTATGGCTGTATCCCCCAGCACCTAGCAAAACTATAAATAGCAGGCATTCAGTGAAGGTGTGTGGATTAGATAAATGGTTGAATAAAAGATTCATTTCTTTTTAGGAAATCCAGAAATTAGGAGTCAATCTTCCAGTGAGCAGAAAAAACCAAATGTACTTATAATACTCGACTTATTTAAGTATGATTGACTTGGAGCTGCTCATTCAGCCATTGCAGCCAGTGAGATAATAATGATAATAATGGCCAACATTTACTGAGGAATTACTGGGTGCTTTATGAAAACAAGTAATTCAGGACAGATTGATTATTTTAACAGTTCTAGAGCCTCAGTAATTTTAACCATAATCTATAGCAAGTTGGACAGGGGGAGGGTCTTGAAGAGTGTTAATGCTCTGCATTCAGGGACCCAGGCTCCTTCCACATAGAGGCTCTGCCTTTCCAGGGCCTGGAGTTCTCTCCTGACTCCTATGTGTCCACCCAACAGACGTGAAAAGAGCGTGTAGTGGATCACAAGGGAGATTTTAGGGATAATTCTTAGACTATGCAAAATATATCAGTTCCACCTACATTCCATTGACCAGAACTCAATCACAGAGTCTTACCTAGATTCCAGGAGGTTGAGAAATGTTGTTATGCTCCTCCCCCCAACAAAGAAGAGAACAAATTTGTGACATATCTAGCAAGTTTCCGCCACAGTGTATTATCTCATTTAATTCTCAGAACAACCTGATAAAGCAGATACTATTATCCCATCTCATAGATGAGAAAACTGAGTTCAAAGATTAAAGCAATGTCAAACACTTAGTAGATGACGGAATTGGGTGTTCTAGACTAACTAAGCTATGCCTTTTCAAAATTGAAGTTCAATATGTTGCCCCATTCCTGTTAATTTCACCACAGAGATCCCCATCAGAAAAGCCTAATTTTGCCTTTCCTTGATCTAAACTGCTTATAATACTAAGCCATTTGGCATCCTAGTATAGATTATCTTATCTATTCCTCATTGCACTCCCACGTGGTAGGTATTATTAGCTCCACTTTACCAAAGAGGAAAATGAGATTAGATATGTTAGACAATTTGGCCACAATCAACAGCTAATGGGAGGCACATTTAAATACAGTTGAACATTATACTGCAAATTGCTCTCTGGCCTGGAACTTTGGAAGACCTTTTCCTAAATTTTTAAAAAATGACACCCCCCCACACACACACACCCCTAAAAAAATGCAACAAACGATTTTCCCATGGAACATCCTAGAGTGCTTGGTATCAGAAGGTCATTGTCCTCAATATTGTGGTCACCAAGTTCAGACTGATTCCTTACATTTCAGGGGTGATCAAGAACATTTAGCAGCCTCTGACCTTATTAACTATGATTAGATTGTCTTATTAATGTTTGAAGAAGTTCTTCCCAGCTGAAACAATCCAGAAGATGAAGAATCAGAGAATAATAAGACATGCAAAACTAGAGAAAACCTCCAGACTCAACTAAGGGTGGTCTCTGCAGGCCAAGAGCATTCTTTATGGTTGGATCACTGGGTGGGGACATGGAAGCAGCAGCTAAAGCAGGCTTTGTATGCTGGGCTGTTTCTTTCCTCGCTCATGCTTCTCCCCAGTGTGACCTGGCCCTGTTTCCCCCTGAGACATTAGCTCAGGGAGCTTGTTCCTTTATCCAACCCTCACCAGGCCCTCAGGTGCCATCAGAGGGCAGGCACTGGTCCCTGAGGAGAGAAAACAGAAAGGGAATCTAACTAAAACTGCTGCATTGTAAAGAAAGATCATAACAGCAATGTGATCTGAGGACTTGGGAAAATTGGGTAAATAAAAGGCAAAAATAGTAAATTGCAAATTTGGGGGCTTTTGACTTTATATCTTCAGTTATGCAAACTGCACAGGTCATGGAAGCACATTCTAGAGTTAGAGCCCATGGGACGTCAGCTCCTTGCCTTCCCTACTATCCAAGACTGGGTTTCTTTCTCTTGACCATAGACTCAGATCCTCCTTTCTGAGGAATTCTTCACCCACATCATACAACCTCATGAAATAGGGCCAACCTTCACGAAATCAACTGCCAATCACTGTGATGGTCGATGACAGTGTAAACAGTCTTTTCCGTTGGAACATTTAAGATGATCTACTCTCATACCCAGTGCATTAGTTCTTTATCCATTGCTATAACAAAATACTGGGGCTAAATACTTTATAAGAACAGAAGAGATTCAAGTCCAAACAGCATTGCACCAGCCCTGATGAGGGCCCTTCTGTTTCACATCATAGTGGATGTGTCATGAAGAGGTCACATACTGAGGCGGGGGAGTCAGTCTTCCTCTTTTATAATGACCCTCTCATGAGAATTAGCTGGAATCCCACAAGAACTACAGTAATCCTGTTGGGGGATTAACGGCCTCCACTAGGCTCTGCCTGTAAAAGTTTCCACCATCACTCACATTGCCACCCTGGGGACCAAGCTTCCAACACATGAGCCTTTAGGGAACACATTCAGACCATATCCAAACCATAACATCCAGTGAAGTCCCTGAGGCCAGATGGGACACAGTACCAGTTAGTGAAGACCTGGTCTCTAGCCTTCAAGCTTGAGAGTCTAATAGAACACACTTGTATGCAATGCCGTCTCTGTGAAGTTGTTACAGATCTGCTCTAATCTTTATAAAAAATTAAAATCCTACTAAGATGTCTAGGTCAAGCCCCCTACCCCATAGTGCTCCTCACTAGGGCCCTGAGAAGCTGATGCTGTCTTTCTCTGTACCTAAGGTGAACTACAGTCTTTGCTCTCTCTCTCTCTCAACTCTTCCAGGACTCTAGGCTTTGTAATTTCCCACTTCTCTCAGTCTGAACTGAGCTTATTTGCCACCCACCTAAGGAGTCTGTCTTGGGTCCTAATTCCCATAGCAATGAACTCAGCTTCCTCTCCTCCTCTGTATCTTCCTCATGCTCTGCCGAGGATCTAAGATTCTTGTGTTTACTGGCCTTCTGTGGCCTTTCCCCATTTTAAATTCTCCTAATGGAGACAGAAAAATATCCTTAATCCACACCATGAAAAGTTTTCAGAATAAGAATGGGTCACAGATGACCTCACCAGCCAGCCTCCCTGTCCTCTTCCCCTTCTATTCTGCCCTCTTCACCCTCACTGGGCTCTGTTTTGTTCTTTAGAAAACACTAATTTCTCTCTTGCCTTGTGGTCTTTGACATGCCATTTCCTCTGACAGAATCATACTCTACAATGCAATCTCTCACTCCCACTATCTCCTAGTAAACTCCACTTTGTCCTTCAAAATTCAGTTTGGGCATTACTTCCTCTAGGTAACCTTCCTGATCCCCCTAAATAGGTTAGATCCCTGCACTAAATGCTCTCAGGTAACCCTGTACTTTCCTTTTGTATCCATTATCATACCTGTGATCATACGATTATTTTAAAAATGGTAACTATTGTCCATGTCCTAAATAGACTCCAGGTTGCCTGAGTCCACAAGCCAGGGACTGAAACTGCATACACAGACATTCTAAATCTGCTCTCCAGACAGTTAGCTGATACTACCTTGTCATGAAATTATTTGCATATATGTGGAAGCACACGCCAGGAACCTAAATCCCATTATGCTAGACCCCCTGCAGTGATGGACATATAATAAATGTTCATAGAATGAATGCATAGAGACATGGATATCAATGAAGCTCTCATAAAAGGGAGAGGTGTCAGCTTGGCAGTGATTTTTTGAGAACAGATATAAAACATAGCAAGTGTGGAAGAGTATAGCTACCTATTATTTCCCTCACTTCTGTGTTTTTGTTTCTCCTTCCCAGGAGGCACTATATTAGTGCATCCTCTTCTAGCTACTAAAAACTGTGTTCGTTTTCTATTGCTGTGTAACAAATTCCCACAGGGAGCCTAAAACAATAAACATTTATTATCTCACAACTTTTGTGAGCCAGGAGTGTGGGCACAGCTTAGATGGGTCTTCTGCTGAATGGTACAATCAAAGCATTACCAAGAGTAGGGTCTTGTTAGAGTCTTGGCTAGGGAAGGATCTGTTTTCACGCTTCCTCAGACTGTTGTCGGTAGTTATTTCCTTGCAGAGGTAAGTTTCATGGTAGCTTAACTTTTCAAAGTAAGATTTGAGAGGGGAGAGGAAAGGAGAAAGAGGTTCTAGCCAGCTGATTGCTATACTCTCTTGTAATTACATGCACATAATTGTGGGAAGAACTTCATCCTTTCCACATTTCATTGATTAGAAGCAAGGTAACACTCAAGGGAGGGGACTATACAAAGGTGTGAATATCAGAAGTCAGAGATCATGGGTTTCTTAAGAATCTATGTACCACAAACCACAATCTTGTAAGACAAGAGGAGATAGATAGATAGATAGATATCTCCCATGGAGGAGACTATTTACTGATACGGTAACTTTTCAACCAAGGTTCATCAGCTGATACCATTCTCCAAAACCAAACTGAATACCAAGATTCATTCAGTAAGAAAGATAGTTTTTTTCTCCCTGGGCTTCTGAGGATCTGCCGCCATCATGAATGACATAGTAATTATCTGGACCAGGAAGTTCATAACCAACCAGTTACTTAAGAGGAAACAAATGGTCATTGATGTTCTTCACCCTGGGAAAGCAACAGTACCTAAGACAGAAATTCGAGAAAAGTTAGCCAAAATGTACAAGACCACACCAGATGTCATATTTGTGTTTGGATTCAGAACCCATTTTGGAGATGGCAAGACAACTGGCTTTGGCATGATTTACGATTCCTTGGATCATGCGAAGAAAAATGAACCCAAACATAGTCTGGCAAGACACAGCCTGTATGAAAAGAAAAAGACCTCAAGAAAACAGCGAAAGGAACACAAGAACACAATGAAGAAAGTCAGTGGGACTGTGAAGGCAAATGTTGGGGCTGGCAAAAAGCCAAAGGAGTAAAGATTCTGCAATGACTTTATCTGCAGAGATTGTGTAAATTCTTCATGAGGATTAATAAACTGTAAAAGTTGTAAAGAAAAGAAAGAAGGATTACATATATAACATATACATATGTCAGCATTTGTATGTGTTGTGTCAAAGGGTGCAAGCAGTGGGCAGGAAGAGAGACATTTAAATCAAAGCAAAGAAGGAAGCCAGAGATTGCTCAAAGAGGAAGAGGGATTCTCAGGGATGAAGCAAAGAAAAGGCAGTTCCCAGCAGAGAGGAGCCAATCAGAGCTCTCATGTCACACCCTGGTGCTTTTCAGGGTTCCCCCTGATCCTTAGCTCTGATACTATCCCTATCCCCCCAAAAGCTTTAAATGAAGCCTTTCCCCATGCTTACTTTAAAAACATATTCAACCTGGTTTGCACCCTGTCACTGTCCACTATCCCCAGATTGTTGGGAGTCCAGCTGGCTCCAAAGACTAACTTCCCCATCCCCCAAGAAGAGCCGTCCAATGGTGAGCCCTG